CTCCCCTCCCCTCCCCTCCCCCTTCCCTGTCTCCCTGTCTCCTCTCTCTGCGCAGCGAAGTCTTCGGCCGAGCTGCCGAGGTATCTGGTGAAGATCTCGCTGAGCACCGGGTTGGCGCAGTGGATCCAGCGCCGCGGCGTCACGCCGTTGGTCATGTTCACCTGCTCAGACATGCCCAGACAGCAGGGGCTTTCAAAGGCTTATGACCACAAGAAGCCGAGAAGCAATCTTGTCATGCTCCCCGTTGTCGCAACACCACTTGTAGAACTCAGGGAAGGTTTCCTGAACGCCAGTCTCCTAGGAATCTACTCGGAGGAGTGCTGCAGAGACGGTCTCCTTTTTGATGATCTCGGTGTGGAGAGCTGCGACTCCGTTGATCTTGTTGGAGCCGATGATAGCGAGGTGGCCCATGCGGATCTTCTTGATGTCGCCTTCCTCTACGATGCTCAAAGCCGCGATGATAGGCCCATCACCCCACCTGCAAAGCAGTGCGGCTTCGTAATGCCCACAACCGAACCAAAAAGAGCAGCTTCCACGTGCTACCAGCCTTTGCAGCAGCTTCTGGATCCAGATGCCGTTGATGTGATAAATGATTTGCAGGTGTCGCGGAAGCATCCGCTCCATCATCTCAACCGGCCATTTCTCCAGAGCCTGGGTCGCAAAGCCAAACGATCTGCGGAGTGCTGTCGATCCAACTGAGCTTTCATCGGTTGCAGGCCTCCGGCATGACAGTGTGGTTGGTATAGTTCAAGCACTTCCTGCTCACAGGACTGCAGCATACCGCGTCCCAGCAAAACCTGGCCATGATCCAGTGAAACTACGAGCCTGGTCAATTCCCATGCTCTGTCCCAATCCAGCTGCTGCACATCCACCTTAGACGCTAGTCCCAAGCTGACACTAGCTGGCTTCTTCGGCCAGCCATAGATGCTTTACATAGATTCGCTCTCCAGTTGAAACGATGCCGATAACTGTCTCAATTTATTGAATTAAGTCGACAATCGGGAGCTGTGGAATCTCGCGAGCAAGGGGCCAAAAGGCGCATGAACTCTGCAACAGCGATGGTCGGATGCGTGTCGTTCATCTGCACGGCAACCTGCAGCCCGGTGTTCACCAGCAGTACAACTGAAGCGTGAGAGGCAAAGACATGCATACCCGTGCAGTGCCTTTTGCGGAAGGTCTTCCCACTGATAATTTGGTCGCTTGATGAATTCTCGCAACAAATCCTGACATCTCACTGCGGCGACATGTCATCGCAAGCCGCAGCTTCGCAAGCATGCCAATGTGCCCAAATCGACTTACACCGTACACCGGCAACATTGAAAAGGGGCATGCAGCAGCCGGTCCTGCAGAGACGCGCTCACGAAGAAGTACTGCTGGCGAAGGCGAAGCTCCCTTCCAGCATATGTTGCATCCTCAGCAAGATGCAGATGTGTCGCTTTTTGTCACCCGACCTCAAAGCGTGAATCCAAAGCCTGCTAAAAGCTGCACTGGCACGTTCGGGTAGAGCACGGCAGACAGATCTTCGGCTTTGCGCCGCTGTGTGATCGCATCTTGAAACTGTGCGCTGCTGAAGGCATCCAAGTCGAACTCCTTCACTGCTGGAGCGCTCTCTTAGAGGGAATTCGGGGAACCACGCACGCTCCTCCGACCCGTTCATGTCGGGCTCTCTCTCTCTCTCTCTCTCTCCTGGGCATGAGGGCCTGTCAAAGCCCCCGGGCGTCTAGCCCACCCGAACGCTTGTCGGGGCGAGGGGAGTGAAACAAGAACGCTCTCTCTCTCTCTCTCTCTCTCCCTTTCTGTCTCTTTCTTTCACTAGAGGGCTTTGACCCCTACGCTCTCTCTCTCTCTCTCTCTCTCGGGTTCTCTTTCACCCTCTCCTCTCCTTCTGGTCATCTCTACAGATTCTTATTCTTGGCTGCACATGTACCACTAGCAGAAATCGTCCGAGTCGTGACTGTCCCAAGCATGTCTGAAGCCCGTCCTCGCTAGGACAAGCTCGCCAAAGCCGCAGGTTGTTTGTGTTGTAGGTGTCCTTGGCTTGAGAAACGTCTGTAGCCACACTGAGACCAGTCTTTCAACTCTCTTCCTCCAACGGCGAGCATCAAAGCCCGGAATGGGATTGTCATACGCCATTGCCTGCACGATCTCGCCCCCGACCCACCTGTCACAGAGGCAGCATGAGTTGTGCTGCAAGGCCTCACGCTGAAGAATGGAGACTTCTGTGTCGCATGGGCCTTGATACGCTTCTGCCGTTCTCGTAAACCTCTTCCACTCTGCCATAGAAGCGGATAGGATACGTGACATCCGGACGAGGAATCTCAAAGGGGCAGCCGTCACCTCACGAGTCTTGTGACCGCTTCTGAAACATGCGCACGGAAGGACATGGAACATCGTCTCTGGGCTTCCCGGCCGATCCAGAAATCGGGCTCTTCAATCTGCCGGCCATCCCTGGAAGGAGCAGGGAACGTGCTTTTCTAACTGGGCCACGGCACTCAGAAATACGAAGGCACCACAGCCAAGGCACTTGATGCCCTGCTTGAACATTCCGTAGCTATAACGGATGCCATAGCCCCAGCATGGGAGCGACCTCGACCCGTTGAAGAGCGTCTGTCTAGCAACTGCGACAGGTACTCTGCAACGCCTAGATACAAGTTGCAACTCTGAGATGTTGCAACTCTTGACTTCCAGATTTTCAGATTAGCTGCAGGGTCGCCATAGAATCCAGGAAGCAGGCCGCCAAGCGCCCCAGTCCTCCATTTCCCAGTGCCGGATCTGCTTCTTCGCTAAACAACTCCTGCCAAGCGCGAGCATGGGCGAGCCGAACGCAGCCAACTCTAAGGCGCAGCCACACCTCGAGCTTCATCCCCAAGTCTTCAAAGGCATCCTGCAAGAGGGCTGCAGGACCCTAGGACCGCGGGGACAGGGGACACATGGGGACACCCCCTGTATCACAATGCTCGCTCTGCAGAAGCTCGTCCTTGAACGGCTGCTCCAAGTCCAGATTGGCGATTGCGTTCTGCATGTGACGGCCAATCAAGTACTCGGCCGACAAGTAATACCCCCTGCAACAGTGGCGGTGGCGATTTTTACAGCGTACAAATCGGGCTGGCTGGCATGCCTTTTCACATCCTGCTCCCGGTAATAGGTGTTGGTGTCGTTAAGGGACTCGAGCAAGCGATCACGAAGAACAAGGCCAGCTGCACGGTAGGCATCCTGGAAATCACTTTATCCATGATCCGTCTGCACTGGCTTTTCATGCCTTCGGCAACCCTCGGTCTGGTCTGTCTTGCTGTTCCCCCTCTTCTGAAAACTCAAAGGCCTGCATGGTGAAGTTGAACCGCGTGCACGCGAGAGAATACTCCAGATGCCGGGCAAACGATTTTTGGATCGACTCGGGGTCGTTCGGCTCCTTGGATTGGTCTCTGCTGAAGGCCAAAGTCAAGAAGCAGGCTGTAGGGCGGAAAAAGGGTGCAAGCGTGGAATGCACTACGTGCGGGAACCCGCAGACAAATGCACAACTGCACATGTCAACACGACGAACACTATCTGTGATCCCTTGGCCGTGTGTTTGCGAGAGCAGCCTGTTTCAACATGGAATCAAGATAAGAACCGGGAATCGTAGTATGCCATGAGCTGTTGAAGCTTCTCCATGCGTCCACCATCATCCTTAATTGAAGCATGCTCAGGCAGGAAAGAGCCCTACTCGAGAGACCTACTCAAAACAACACGGCAGGCAAGCCGGCTGTGGCTGCCCACAAGGCCTTTCAACTCAGCGTCTTGTCCTTCCACATGAGGAGCTGGACGGTGCGCGGTGGTATCGAGTAGTGAGAAGGAAGACTTGCGCTTCATTTCGAAGCCTAGCCAAGCTTGGCAGTCAAGCTCTTGTTGTTCCGACCAGAAAAACACTCATAACTCATAGCTAGTGGCTAGTGGGCTCCTTGACCTGATTGCATGAACATAAACCGCCCCGGACCAGCCTGCTTTGTCTGCATCCCATACACCGGTGGTCGTCATGGCAAGGTTCGTCGGCAAACCAAGAGCGGTTGTGGCACGGACACAGAGCTGAGCCGGAAAATGGGCTGCTTCGCACCTGTGACATGTACAGTCTTGGCAGATTGCTCCTGCAGATCTCATGGATCTGCAGCAACATTGCAAGAATGCATTGCAAACATTAGCATGCCCACCCACCACGGTGAAATCACAACTGTCTTATCTGTCTTTCAACTACATCCACCCTGGGGCGGGTGGGGAGGGGGAGCAACAATTTCCAACTACACACATTCAAACATGCGACAAGGAATGGTACACTTTCATCCAATTTTGACATGGGGGCTCCACATGACACATGGATTTCATGTCTGTTTTAAGCTTCAATATCTTACAGGAACTGTCGGTTTGCACCTGGTTGTCCGTAGCAAACACTGAATACAAACGCGGGCTTGTAGGTATGAGACCCCGCCATGAACTATGAACTGATAGCATTGAAAAACACGACCCTCCAAAGTCTGCACGCGTCAACTTTGTAACAGCTGTGGCTCGGAAGTGTAAAACACTTTTTCAGTGCAGGGCCACAACCCTTGATGTTCCAGAAGCTCACAATCCGCAGAAAATCGCTGGAAAAAGTGTGTAGGATAGGGGGCACTTATGAACCAATTAATTTTGCCGTGATTTTGTGGTTTTCGTGCACCCCCCAATCGGCTGGAGTGCCCCCACTTGGCCCGAAATCGCCTTGCGCGAATTCCGTAGTTTTTTTGTGTTTTCGCGAACCTTCCAATCGGCTGGAGTGTTCCCCCACTTGTCTCGAAATCGCCTGGCGCGAATTCCGCAGGTTTTTGTGTTTTCATGCGCCCCTCCATCCGCAGTCCGCCGCCGTCCTGCAGCCACCCCGCCGCCAGCCGTCCCACTGCCACACCCCGCCGCCGTCCCGCAGCCACGCTCCGTCGCCGCGCCGCCACTGGCACGCCGGCAGATGAGCAGTCACTACGCGGTGACTATACGCGGTCACGATGCGGTCACCACACTCTTGCGCAAAGTTCTCGACTGCAATCACGCGAGCACAATGCAAACAACAAAGCGATGATCCACTGTTTAGAGTTTAGGTTCAAGGGCGTAGGGTAAAAGTTTAGGGGTGTGTATTGAATTAATTAACTAAGTTACCAGCTGAGTGGATAGATTCCAGGGCTGGAAAAGCTAGCTAAATTACCAGCTGAGTGGATAGGTTCTTGGGCTGGATACGATTCGTGACACGTTGTATGCTTGCAGCCTCGGTGAGAAAGCTGTTTTGTTCACGGTCTGGCGTTGTTCAACAGCCGCACAGAAAGAAAAAAAGCGGGGCTGGGCCCCGGACCTTCGACGAAGGGGGGGCTTAAGGGGGGCTTCAAGGGGGGCTTAAGGGGGGCTTCAAGGGGGGGCTTAAGGGTCACCCCCTTAAGGGGGTCTTAAGGGGGGGGGGGGGGGGGGGGGGACGAAG